GTGATTTCTTGACCTTTAAAGATAAATTTAGCTAAAGCAGTTGCCTAAACCTCAAACAGATGCTAAATACATCTTAAGGACATGCACCTGAACTGTTTGCAAAAGAAAATAATTGCACAGGACGAATTTTGCACAGCTGTCAATCCTCTCATAGTTTCTCCAGGAACTATTCTAGTTTGGTAGGGCTCTGGAGGCAGCTGAGGCACATTGGCAGACCAAGCAGACCACAGCCCTGGCTGTTACTGAGGGAAAAAAGCTCTGATGTGGGAGGAGTTTGGTGAAACCTTGAGCTCCGAGAAGATTCATCAAGCAGCTGAGGCAGAGAATACAGCACTTCACTAACACTGTGTTCAGTGAAGGTGAGATGCCGTTGATCTCAACCAATGTCATTACTGTTCTGAGTTGAAAGGGGAGATCATATTTCTCCAGTTTTAGCTTCTCTTCATCTCTCCTATCAAGTTTAGAAGAGAATTTAAAATCTTACTTCTAACAAACAAAGCTCTCAACAACCAAGCTCCATATCATATCAAAGATCTTGTTGGTCCAATTGTTTCTAATGGAGCACTTCACTCTTAGGTCTCCACATACTCCATCCAAAGACAGTCGATGCACCGTCATGTAGTTGTACAGCGTTCGTTTTCACACACACCTTTTACAGCCCGAGATGCACAGTGCTAAGCTCCTGTGAAACCCCTCCTGCTGCAGTACGTCACTGCACCATGATTTGCACATAAATCTGTCTCAGTTAATGCTCTACACTTTTCTGCAGATGGATTCCTTTGTGCAAAATGTTTTTTTTTAAATCACCATTCCTGAGTTTTTGGCTATTTGACTATCTTTATAAATGTCTGCTTCCAGGTAATGAATCTTCTTCATACACCAAAGTTAGTCATGGAGTTCCTCAGGGTTCAGGTAGTCGGCTTCTGTTTGCAAAATGCAGCATCCTAGCGCTTTCAGCACGAACAGAGCTATGAACTTCTGATCATTCACACAGTAAGTTCTTATGTGGAGGGGGTAAAAAGATTAACCCAGCAGGTTGTGACGAGAAGGGGCAGCAGATTCAAAGCTGCAAACAGAATGATGCAGTTTTCGTCATGCAATGAGAGCCGATTCCAGCAGTTCAGATGGACAATCCAGAGGCCTTTACACTGCAGGTTTACTTATGGTTCCTGGTTTCCAAAGGTAGAGTGGTCGGCAGAGCTTTCAGTTCTCAAGCTCCTCTCTTGTGGAACCAACTTCCAGTGAGACGCTCTGCCTTTAAGGCTAGGCTTAAGGGTTGGCTTGGGTTTCCTGAGGTATCTGTTATTTATGCTGCTATACTGTTGGATGATTGACTACACTCCCTCATTCTGATAAGTTTGTCTTTTCTATCCCATTTTGACAGTTAATTTTGCAACCAAAAACAAATAGCCACTTTGGTAATACTGCCTAAATCCTAATTTAAAGCACAACTTTATTAGACATGTTAACAATAAATCCACTGTTTTATAAAGATATGACAGTTTTTCATAGACAGAAACACATAAAAGCATCCAGAACAGTTTATAATGTGAAGAAAAAGCAGACAGTAAAGGACTGAGGACTGAACACGTTTAGACTGAAGGTCCAACCTGTGGCCTGAACTACTCTTTGTAGACATGTAAAACATCGAGAATAAAATGGTTACAAAAGGGCTCAGAACTTTGTTTCATGACAGAACTTGGAATGACGACACATTAAAGAGCCAAACAAAAACACTTTTCTGCTATAAATTGTTTTTACAGTCTTGTGAAAAAAAAAGGAAACTAATACAATGGTTTGCAAAAGTATTCATACCCCTTGAACTTTTCCATATTTTGTCACATTACAACCACAAACATAAATATATTTCACTGGAATTTAATGTGAA